TTTTTCGGGGGCTTTCCCTCCCAGAAACATTTTTAACCCCTGTGTAACCCCCTAAAGAAAGCTTGCCCTTTTTAACCCAACGGGGGGGGATCTTCCCCCTTTGCGGGGAGGGAGTTTTTTCGCCCCCCCCCAACATTTTTTCCTCGCCCCCCTTTCATATTTCCCCCTAAAAAAAAAAAAAACGGGGAAAAAAAAACCGGTACCCTGTTTCCCGATTTCACAAAGTAAATTGGCTTTTTTTACAACGTCGTTCCCAAGGGACGAAAACCTAATCCGGATGCCAAGCCCGGAGGGGGGGGGTTTTTTTTAAAAGGTGGTTCCCAAGGGAGGAAAACCCAAACCCGGATGGCAACCCCGGGGGGGGGGGGGGGGGGTACTCATCTTTCGCATGCCTTAGCTGTTAGACCTTTGACCGCGCGTCCTCGAAAGGACGGAGCATTGTTCCCACGGGAGGACGCATCACCGCGTGCTGGGTATTCGCTTGCTACTCTCGTGATCAAGCGTTTATCGGCCGACTCGTTTGTTAAGGTCACGCATCCTCATCACACCGCTGGTTTCTACAACGTAGACGGACATGGAGATCGAGTACGTCTACGCTGCATGGTGGTGTTGAACGCCTGTAAACTAAACACTGAACCCCCAAACACTCCCCAGCATCGATATCCAGAGGGCCGGCGCAACACACCTGTTCTGCGATAATCCACTCCGGCCTGTTCCTCGAGTACAGGGCCAGCAGCTTCATGCCGTCGGGGTTGGGTGGCGTGAGACCCTCCTGCTCCAAGCCGGAAGCGAAGTTGTCCACCCTTTCCTCGACTTCCCTGAACCAAAGAGAGCAGTCAAGAGGAAAATGGTTCACACTCAGTGGTGAGTTTTCCATTGGTGTAAAGATGGGTTGCTTGATACCCGTCAGTTTCAACGGTCGAGTGTTCTCTCATCAGCAAAACAGTGCTGTTGCTATCCGATCCCATGCCCGCTACGAGTGAAAAACGAAATCGCTTCCACTGCTGTCTGCGCAACGACTACAGGAGGAGTAACATCCTGAGTGACCAGCGCCTCGAACGCCTTCCTTCAACAACACACCCCTTGCCACACGCTTGGTCATGGGATTGCCAAAAACAGGGCATGAGCACCCCCTGTTCCCAACCCGCCTCTACAGGACGAATACCATTCAGCTCATCGTCCCCAACGTCATATGCTCGATCACAGCATGGGGAGACAGAGGAAGACGCGAGCGACCCCTGCCCCCCTACAATTATTGCTCTCGTAAAGTTTAACAAATCGCAACCCCCCAAAACAGTAACCACGGAACCCCTCCCACGGTTCGTACCGGCCCACAAGGCAAGCCCTCCGCCCCCCCCCCCCCCCCCCCCCAAAGGGAACTTACAGGGAAATTTTCAAAAAAAAAGGGGGGGGGTTTTCCTTTCAATCCCCCTTCCTTCTTCCCCGGGGCGGGCCGTTCGGGGTTTTTTTTTCGCCGCGGGGGAAACTTTTTTAAGAAGGTTTGGCCCCCTTTAAAAGCAACACCCCCCCCAAGGGGGGCTGGGGGAGGGCGCATTTTTTCGTGGGGCCCCTTTTCGGGGTTTTCCTGTTTGGGACCCCTTTTTAGTTAGGGTTTCCGGGCTTTTTTTTTATTAATTGGGGGGGGGGGGGGGGGGGGTTTTAAAAAAGGAAGGGGGGGGGGGGTTTTTTTTTTGTGGGAAATAAGGAAAATTATTAAGGGGGAATTTTTTTCAGGGGAAACAATTCCCCAAAAGGAAAAAAATTTAAGGGTTTCCGTTTTCCCGGAAAAAAAAAAGGTTAAAAAAAAAAAAAAGGGTT